CATTTGAAAATAATTTTGCTGCCCCATTGATTCATTTTGACAAAAACAAATGAAATAGTTTATATATATCTTTTTTCGGATCCTGCGAAGGGCTTCGATTAATCAGGTAAAATGTTATTTTATGCTAGAGTAGATTATTTCAGGAGTTGAATATTGCCATGCCCACATGGTGGTTCACCGAGACTTAAAGCCAGAGAACCTACTTTTGGATTCCAAACGCAATGTCAAAATTGCTGACTTTGGACTCGGTAATGTCATGTGTGAAGGCCATTTTCTGAAAACAAACTGTGGAAGTCCAAATTATGCTGCTCCTGAGGTGTGGATTCAAATAGCTAAATGTATCTTGCGTTAAGCTTGTGCTATTGTGTACATCACATTTCTTCTGATTTAGGTTATATCTGAACGACTTTATGCTGGTCCTGAGGTTGATGTGTGGAGTTGTGGGGTTATCTTATACGCTCTTATGTGTGGAAGGCTTCCTTTTGATGATGATAATCTTCCTGGCCTATATGCAAAGATAAAGGTTGGCTAAATAATGTCTGCATTTTGATTTTCCCTTTAAATATCTCCTACATTTGATACTCCCTTGCAACCAGAATGGAATATATGCAGTCCCAAATCATTTGTCTGATGGTGCATGTGATTTGATTTCACGAATGCTTACTGTTGATCCTATAACCCGGATATCGATTCCTGAATTACGCCAGCATCCTTGGTTTCAATCTCATCTTCCAGCATATATTGCAGTCCACTCACTCATTGGTTTGCACATTCCAAAACAGGTGAGTAGAATTCCTATTCATTCTGCAACATCAACAAACTTTTATTTGTCCCATCAACATTATCGAATTTCTATTCATTCTTCAACATTTTAATGTATCATAGTTGTTAGAACATCCAAAACCAAAACCAATTGGTAATGGGTAGAGAGACCCCTCAAGTATATAAATTAATCTTGGTGGTCATAATTATTCGATGTGAGATGTAAGCTCTCTTAACACCCTTTCTCATATGGGTCCTAGACTTGCACGAAGGGTCAATAAACAAACAGCTATGCATACCGGCAAATTCAAATGGGAAAGAGACTAGGCCCATTGACCACATACGGTCTAGTTTTGATACCATGTTAAACCATCTACTCCAAAAGTTTAAGTATTATTACAACAACCATCTATTTCAAAAATTTAAGCTACTAGAGAGGGTGTAATCTAAATATTTATACTTCAACGCATCCCTTCACGTGCAGACTAGATTTTGTATCTAGCACTTGAAACTTTTTTTAATAATTAAGGTAATGGCGAGATTCGAACACATGACTTGCTACTTTGTTACCATGTTAGAGTATCCAATCCAAAACAAATTGGCAATGGGTGAAGTGGCCCCTTAAATATATTAATTAACTTTGGTGATCCTAGTTATTCGATGTGGGATACAAGATCTCTTAACAATAGTATTCACACCTTGTTCCTGGTATTAGATATCAACACTCTCAATGTAACATGCAGCTTATATTTGGTGAGTATGTAATATCTAGATCAAAATTCCTTAATATGTTATCTTTTTGAGTATGCTCATACTTAAATTTATATTCCATGTGAAAATCTCCATTATGGTTAGTTAACTGTTTGGGCTCGGAACCATTAGTAGCCACCTTGTGCTGATAATGCGAAACCGTTAGAACTTGTTGCCTGCTCTAGCACCCTCAATTAGTAAGGAAACTGAGCAATGATATTCTTAGGTCAATTTTCTATTTTGGTTGGCTTTTTTAAGTTTCTCCTTGACTTGTTTTAGATAATTTGCAAATTGAATAAGGAGTTCAAGTCAAAGTGAGTTTACATTAATAGCAGCAAGAGATGTTTTTTTGAGGAACCAAAAGTAATTACTTTTGGGTGAAAGTAATTAAATGCAACTTATGGGTCAATAGCTCCAAGCAAAATGTTGTGGGATCCAAAAGGACAATACCTTGTAAAAATACTCATTTGCCCTTATTTAAATGAAACAGAAAGTTTCATGTTAGCTGCACAAAAAGTGAGTCGTTGAATTCAAACAAATTCAATCTCTGTCAGAATCCTTTGTTTCTTCCCTAATTTTGAGGGAAGGATCACGAGCGTAGAACAAGAAGAGTATAGTAAGAAGAGTTATATTGGCACGTATTGGAAAAAATCTATCTTTGTTTAGTCAGTACATTAGCGAAGCCTTTCCCGTTACCTCTTTTTCAAAAATCCACATCCCATTTAAGAGTGCTGTCTTATGTTGTTAAAAAAGGAGCTGAATTGCGGACTACTCCCTTTGATTACGCCTTTTCCGTTCCCTTGGTGAGTTATTTTGTTTCCTTGTAATTAATATGTCATTTCATTGTTGGATGTATATTTTTGTTACCCTTTGTAACAACTCCATTGCAAATTTTATAGTTCCTTTAGAGCCTAAAAATGTAGTTTGAATTTTCGATACTTTTTTTTTTGTGTCTCTTTGGAATTTCAGAAGTCGCACTTTTAATTGTAACTTCAAAGGCCTCTCTATAAGAACAGTGCTATAATTGGTTCTAGCAACCTGCTCAGACATCAGTTGTTTTGAACCACTTTACTGTTTGACTGAAATCCTTCCAATTGTCACTGTAGCCCGTATTTTGGATTTTTTTTTCTCTGTTACATTGAAATAATTCTTACTTGAGAGCTTTTCAGTAGTAGCTTTTTTTGCATAAGATGATTACTCTGCATCTAGGATCTTGTGATGCTATTTTTGAGGATCATTTCATTGGTGACGGTTAAGCACCTTATCTGGTAAACAGGTGTTATGACCGCCAAGCTAATGGTAATATGCACGGCGGCAGTAAGTTGACACCATTCTTTCTTCTAAAGATGCCCTTAAACATTCTGATAATTCATACGTGGTATTTTCCTCTAATAATCAATTTGATTGGAAAGTTTGAATATCAAGAGATTCATCAAGCTATCCTTCCCTCTATGCTGGATGTGGAACCAAACTTTTACTGAAAGGTTTTCTAATATTAGGACAAAGGTAGCTAATATTGGTGAATCGATTAAGTCTTGGAAATGAGAAGTCATTCCACAACTATTGTGAATGTTCTTTCCCCGCTCTAACTTTGATCAACTAGCCTACACAGCTTTTTTTGGAGGAGGTCGAAGGGAGAACTTACTCCCAAATTTGTAATTGATGATGGTTATTTGTTGAAATGTGTCTAGCTATGCATACCTGGAGGTTCTTTAAGAAGGTTTCTAGTTGCTGAATTGCATGGAAGAGGTGGTTTTGGTAGTGATAAAACACTAAATTTGGTGAGGGAAAGGTGTTTTTGGCCAAGCATGTTGGGGGATGCATATAAACATGTTGATAGGAGTCCTACATGTCAAATTTCTAAAGGGCAGCACCTGTGTTGGGTTTTACCGCGTGCAGGAAGGGCAGTTGATTTCTTTTTTGTTGTTGATCGTTTCTCAAATATGCCTCACTATATCACATGTAAGAAGAATTTTGAAGTGACACAGCCAATCTTCTCTTTCAAGAAGTTTTTAGACAACCTATTTATTGCCGCATCAGTTGGACCAACCCAACGGTCATTTTTGACAAGTTTAAATGATTATTTTAGTTGAACAGGATTCCAGAAGGTGCTGAATTTGATGCCAAGTTTCTCACTATTGATGTAAAATGACCAAAATTCCATATTACCCACCAGAATCAACTTATCCAACCATGAAGGGGAAAACAATCTACAAATACTATTTTTTCAGTCAACTATTACATGATTAAGTGGCCTTGAAGTTCAAGCATGATTTCTGGGTCAAAATGATCACAATGGCCCTACCGACATATAGTCATGGCAACCCTTTCAACTATCTGATTTAATGTAATTGTACATTTGAAGTCTTATTATGATGCTAAGAGCCTTCTCAATCACATTTTATGGTCAAAATAAGTTTTGCTGCCAATTCAGGATCTCATGGCACAATTGTCAAAGTGCGTAAATATATCGAAACCAATTGACCATGTCAAGTTCAACAGCTGCACCTGCACCATGTGTCATTGAGTTGTACATTGATACTTGGCTAAGTTTTAATGTCTGATTCTGCAGCCTCACCAGGGCATGGATCGTCCCGAGATATATTTGAGATCACTTGATCATGCTCAAGAAAAGTGGACACTTGGTTTCAAGGTCATTCTTTTCCTAACTCTTTCTGAACATTCTATTAGACTATGTTTGGTAATACTAAATGCCTTTAAACTTTTTTTTTCCCTTGTACATTAACTACCCTAAACATGTTTCATCAATTTAGGCTTTATCGATTTTGCGTTATTTCCACAGTCTCAAGCATCTCCACATGAAACGATGACTGATGTTTTGAAGGTTTTTCATAGCCTGAATGTCCAATGGAAGAAGATAGGACATTACAACATGAAATGCCTCTGGATGCCTTCACTACCTAATGATTTCAAGGCTACACTTGACGATGGTTTCACCAAAATAAGACACATCTCTGGCCCAGAGCACTCTATCAAGGGTGCGAGGACGGGCACTAAATCAAACGATGCTGTCAAGTTTGAAATTCAGGTGATACATGACTCTATATCAAGTTATGTTTGAAGAATAGATAAATTTGAAAGCTGGTAAATCCCCCGGCAAGTAGGAGAATGCCTTATGTAGCATCTGTTAGTGACCACGATTATTGGTTATCGCTTTGAGGGCTTTATTTTTCCCCCACAATTAAGTTTTGGTATAATTGTAGGTCATTTTATCTTGAAAGAAATTAAGAGTTCATATCAGCTAGTTAAAATACTCAGTTATGCATGATAAATGAACTTTGAGATTTTGCTCAAATCCAGATAAACGATTAAATCTTCAGTTTTTTAGGTGAAATCCTGGCCACTGAAATCACTAAATAGATTTTTGCTGAAAGTGAAGGAGAGGAGGAAAAGCCTTCTAGAACTGATTACTTGCTATCATATTGAATATTGCTGGTTTTGTCAACCCAAATTAAACTCTGATGTAAGCAGAATCTTTTAGTGGAAGTGCTTCATTTATATAAGAGGTGTCATCAACTTTGTCAAACAAGTTTCATATTGCGTTGTAATCTTCAATATGCTTAAACGTTATTCATGAACTAGTGATATTAAAAACGACTGAAGTATGGGACTGAGATTTTTTTTTGTTTGAAATGGAGACATTAATATTTTCGTAGTCTGCAAATGGAGACAGTAATATTTCAGTTGTCTGATTTTGCTGACTGAATGTTATATGCTTAAAGCACTTGCGCCGTTCTGGGGGAGTCTTCCCATTGAATATTCTCTTTTTCGTGACTATTTGCTTTAGTAAATTTTTATGTTATACTTTAACATGCCTATTATTTCAACAGCTTTATAAAGCCCCCGGAGAATTGCATGTACTTGATTTGCAAAGAATTCATGGGCCTCCCTTTCTCTTTCTGGAAATATGTGCTGCATTTTTTGCTCTGGTAGTGGCATAGCTTCAATCGAGTGGGCACGGAAACAAGTTTTGGCACTAATCTCAGTTAGCCGCTGTATAATTTCTGTTACAATTTAGATAATTCTGTTGGGCTTGAAGACTTTTGTTTCTAATTTTTTGCCCTTTTATTTTATATACATACAATTGCAATGTTGCTTTTCGATAACTGCAATGATGCTCTCCAATGCTAAGCAAACAAATGTAGATTCCAGTGCCTTGTTGCAATAAACTGCAGCTTTGTGGTTGTTATACAAGCATACAATCAGATGTATGATCTTGATGGAGTGGCTGCTCTTAATTCAAGGATGAAATGTCGACATGCTGTGTCTAATTAGAATGACATTTTTAGCCTGGGAAAGTTTTAGCCTATGGCTATGAACTATGTTATCTATGGCACAAGAAGCAATGAATTACGCAGGATATTCTTTTTATTGTACAGATTCTGGCAGCATTTGAGTGATCATTGTCATCATACCCTTGATTATTATTTTTTCTCTGAAGTTTTTTGTTTCTTTTTTCAACTTGGCGACGTATGTCAAGAACTTTGCGAAAAAAATTGCATGGATGTGATACTCTACAAAATTTTGGCTGATTAGTTGGATTAAGCTAGCTAGATGATTCATAAAGCATGCGAGATTTCCAACCGGGAGACAAGCCATATGATTCTATACGATACGCATTAGGTGGGTGTGATGAATTGTGTGGACTTGCAAGTTCAAAAGGTCGTGTTATTTGTTTTAGTGTTTGGTGGTGACAGGCAGCCCTTTGTTATGTGTTTTGTGATGTTGTGTTATTTTGACAAAACTCAAAAGGTTGCACTTTATCCTACAGATAATCGCAGGATATACTTGTAGGGAGTGTTTGAATATCCGTGAGAGGATGGATTTGAATCTAAATTCAATACAAAATAGTCCGGGTTAATTCACTCATATACCATCCTATTCTTGTTTTGGATGAAAAATATTTGTTTTGTGGGCCTCATTTACATGTCCAAATGAAAGATGGTAAAATGACTATTGCAAATTCAATCCTATGCCAACTTTGGATGGGTATGGTGCCAAAATTGTTTAGGATTTGTAGATGCTTGAAAATAGTCGTGTAATAAAAAAATGAAGTTCGTAAAATAAATTGTACTATTGTTATGCAATAAAATTCTGATTTATGCGGTAATGTTTATGTAAAACCCAACAAAAAAAAATAAAAATATATATATATATATATATATATATATATATATATATTATTAAAAAAAAAATCCTAATTAAAGGGGTAAAATAATAATTAATTGTTAAATTATTGGTCAAAAATATAATTTTTTTAAAAAAAATAAGAATAATAAATTATATATATATATATATATAGTGGAAGACTTTGTCTTCCACTTTTTTGGTTTTGTTGTGGAGAGACGGTGAGATAGAGTGAGAGAGAGAAAGGTGAGTGTTTATTTTTTTTATTTTTCTCTTTTCTGTTTCCTCAGATCTATAAAGATTGGACCGTTTAATCGCTTCAGGTCAAAAACTAAAGTTGCTCTAATCAGCGAAAGCTACGCAACCACACTAAATATCGTATTTTTCTCCGAAAGAATATCAAAGCCGATAATCTAGACAAAAAACTTAGGAAGCTAAATTTGGGCTTTCTTGGCGCTCTAGTAAGTGGGTTCACGCTACGAGAGGTAAGGTTTCCCCTATTTAGATTTAATTTCAACTTAAAATATGACATATGGAATGAATAGACTATGAGTGTATATCACATGTTAGATCTTGACTAGTGTGACTAGTGAGTCAAATATAAGATTTATAATTAACCTTGCGACTAATAAAATTCTATTGTGATTAACTTGGTGTAAGTTAATGTTAGTGGTTTAAAGCATGTTATTTGTATATTAGCATTACTTTATATTTTAATGGCAGATCAAGTTTAATAAAATTATTAACTTGTTACGTGATTATGAAATAATATGCATGTTAAATGATTATTTAACATATAATTATTTTGGTAGACTTGTGCTTATGTTTATATAATTAATAAACATGTTGTCATGTTGTAAGTCATAGCATGCTAGTTGTGTAAATTGATGTGCTCTTTAGGTGTTTAATTAAATGCCTAGGTGAATACAAATATGTTAGTTGAGTTGATTATCTTACATAACATGCTTGATATCGTGTTAAAATGTCATTATATTGTATTCATTATGTAATGGGCATTGTATTGCATTATGCATGGGTTGCACTACATTCATGGGCATTAACATGGGTGGGAGTGTATGCATGATATGAAATCAATCACCACGTAGGTGGTTGATCGTGGATTCGGAAAAGTCGCACCAAGGTTCGGCTGAGTCGTACAGGAAATTAAATGGATAAATGTGTTAGGGATAACAAGAAGGGCTAAATTCTCTCTTGGGTGCAAGACCCACTTACTTGGTTTATACATTTTTCGGCAGTGAAATTCTAAAAAAGTATAACGGCGAAAACGGAGCAGCAGGGGGGATGCCCTGAAGATCCGTTGATGGTTGGTGTCCCATTGGTGTAATACCATAAATCATCTCCCCATAAAGACACAAGAAAATGAATTAATTAGTCATTGAGTGTACATAACACCAATTATGGGGCTTGGAATGCCCGGATACATACGCATGACATTGCATGTGTTATGAAAGCTCAGGATGGGGCTCGGGATTTGAATGATTGTTAGGTATAATAGACATATTTGAATGATTGTTGCATGTGACATTCCATATGCATTTAAGTTGAGAGGTATTCTCTATAGGAGTTACTTTATTGAGCGTTGACTCACCCTTTATGGGAACATTTTTCAGGTGTTGCACAGGTGTCCACCGAAGGTGAGGCCATGTGCCCGCTTTGACAACAGAGCCGGTCTATGGCTCTTATTTTGATATTGTAGTCCCTTGTTTATACTTACTTTTGGTCTTGTATAATTTTTGTAACAAACATTTGTTTATATTTACAAAGGCATGTATATGAGACTCTTTTGGACATTTATTCTTTTACGAATAAATGTATATACTGATGATGATTATGGTAGTATTCGAGACTATACAATTGTGAATAGATGGATAAATCCGGTGTGGTCAATATTGTACAGGTTGCTTTTTTTGGGTAGAGCTTCTCGTATAAAGTAGATTTTGCCCAAATTTTGTTAAGTTATGGATCCCGAGAAATGGGGCATAACGGTATAGTATCGAATTACACGATATTCACCAGTATTCTGCGGATCGATGAATGATCAATCGGATAATTACAGACACTCGAATTTTAGGGTGTCACAGTTTAGACCCTTTTTTAACAACACAACCTTCTACACAATTTTTTTTACCGTAACAAAAAAAAAAAAAAAAGAGAGAATAATAAATAGCCGCCTAAATTTTGTCTTATAGAAACTAGAGATCCTCCCAAACAAAAAAAAGGCAATAGGGTTAATGTTTTTAATAGGACTAAATACATATGAAAAATGTTATTTATATCTAAAAATTTGACATAATTTGTTGACCTAATGACGTAACTTCATTAAAACTATTGGATTAACATCAAGTTCTAATGTTTGATAGAGTCCATAGTCTTGAAACTATTGGATTAACATCAAGTTCTAATGTTTGATAGAGTCCATAGTCAATCCAAAGATCATAGTGAATTAGGTCAACAAATTAAATCAGTAAATTAAATTTCAATAACATTACTCACTACAGATATATGCCTTGCATATGTCGATACGAATCAAACTATAGATGACAAAAAACCTCTTAATAAGACTTTTAGACACAACGAATTTGATACATTCAATGAATTTATCCATTTAAATTCAACCAAATTATTTTTGTCAGCATGTCTAGAGTTCCTAAGCTTATACAAACTTACGACACAGACAACAACAGAGGAAGAAAAGGGGGGGGGGGGGGAGAGAGAGAGAGAGAGAGCAGATCAGAAGGAGAGAGATAGCCGATCAGATCCAAAGAGAGATAGCAGATCAGATCTCATCCTATTAGATCTGGTTGAATGTTATATCCCCTCGTTGCTGAGAGTTCCAAATGGCCCCTGGTTGATGAGAGCTGGGACCAAGTGGGAGTGGGTGAGAGTGAAAGTAGATTAAAACCCTAGAAAAAATATTGTGGAGGGTATTGTAATAATTTTCTACCGCCTAACTTTTGAATCTGGGATCCAGTTATCCCGCCTCTAATCCCCCAAATCTGGGATCCAAACACCCCCACGCTAGCTAATACCTTGGCCCAAAATACAACACACAGAGGTAGAGATGGGAAGATGAGAGAGATTCAAAAATTAAAACGCCTCATGAATCATGGAGTTTTTTTCCCCTAAATTATCGTGATTTTCTAATTAATTTCCTCTCTAATACAATTTCTAACTTATTTCTCAATATACCATTATTCTATAAGAGTGTGATTTAAAGTTTAAACCCACATTTTTTTCGGTATAAGAATGCGTTTGCAAACAACATTTGTAAAATTTTCTATTAAAATCATGTTTTTAAAACTGTTTTACAACCACATTTGTAAGTTTTTCTATTAAAATCATGTTTTCAAAACACTTTAGCATTAAAATTGCGGGTTTAAACCACGTCCTTATAGAAATAATGGTAGTTTGAAAAATAAGTCAGCAAATATAGTATTGAGAGCATATAAAGTTGGAAAATACGGTAGAATGACAATGAATTCACCATGTCCCATTGCCCTCGTTATTGAGAGAGGAGTTAAAACCAACAGTCATGTCCCCTTTGTTATATTAAGTTCAAAACCAGCAGGAGCAAGCCAACATAGAAGTTTTCATTGCCTGAAAGGCAATATACTGTTTCTTTGAACGCAGGCATGCAAGATGATCAAGCAGCAGGTACGCATTTCTCCCACATGCCATACATTGAACTGAAGCTTCCTCCTCCCAAGCGCTTCGCTAACTCCGAGAAAACCGCCCGAGCACAAGCATCCCAAGTTTTTGCCATCTCTCCAAGCGACATGGGCTGAGGAAGTTTGCGAAGCGATAAACTGAAACTTGACTTTGCCTTCTGTGACAGATCTTCCAATTCTTCACTGTCACTAATGGAGTAAATCAATTCACATCATATCAACATAGCTATTCAGACTGTAAAAGGGAAATGAAAAAAAAAAACCTCAAGGTATTTAGTCCCCACTTTAGCTGACCAGCTCCATCCATCCATCCATAAACATATAATCTTCACGGTGGATTTAGGGAACAATTACAAGTGCTAATAATCGTTGCTTAGTTGAGCCATAACTTTGCCGAAGTTCGTTCATGTTATACGTTTGATTGAACACCAATGGTATAGAGATTCAATGAAGACTTATTTTAAAAGAAGAAATGTAAATGGCTCGACCTCTCACCTACAACCAACTGGTGACATATCCATGTATACAGGTGATGAATTGGGATAATCTGCAGGAACAAGCAATCGTACAACAAAGTTTTGCCACTGTGAACAGAAACAAAAGAGCACATCAATGAGTAAATTGAGAACAGACGGCATTAGAAAGTAGGGATATCAGATCGTCCAAAGAATATATATGTGAATTAAAGTTGATAAAAATTCTTTAGAGCCCCACCATTTGTGATAAAGCACAGTGCAGCTTAAAGTCCTCACTAAGGCCCAGAGCCTTGTATGAGCACCTGACAATGGTTCCTTCACCAGCTTTAGCTGCATCTTTGGTGCAATCTAAAACCACATCCAACACAGTTTCGACTAGCTGCATGTTGATGGCTTTAATCTCTTGTAAGAGCACAATATTGGGCTGTGTCAATAAACATATAGTAATTCTTGTCAATATACAAGCAGATACCAGAGTAGCATGGACATATGGTGGGCAGGACAACCAGGAATAGAACTAGAAACAATGAGCAGAATTTGTCAGAGTGATTGTTGCTGTGGAGTGAACAGTGTCATACATGTCAAGGATATTGGAAAGGCCAAAAGTAGGTTAGTAGGTAGGGTAAATAATCCAAATATGATAACTTGCTAAGGATTTTACTTCAGCAGCTAAGAGAAGTTGCTGAGTCAAAGTAGCAATGTTTTCAACCCAGTTTAGAAAACCAGGAGGTCCAGGACCTATATAAATATAAAATTAAGTAGCTGACACAATTTGTGAAATCAAGAGAAAACAGACTATACCACCTAAAAACAATTATTACCATTGAGGAAGTATAAAGATGTACAGCCAAAAAAATAATATGATCATGATGAGAACTTTACAGAAAAGAACTCCTTCATTTATAGATTTATTAATTTGAATCTGTGCAACAAAAGATAGTGATTGTCATCAGTCATCATCTACTCAGGAGTTGAAGAAAGATGAAAATGGGACCATAAGAGACTGTCAAGGCCACCCCAGACAGATGCTAAATTGTTCTGCTAAAAAGTACAATGATACGAGTCTGAACTGTACAAGTTACACAAGAGGCCCTAACACACTTAAAGTAAACTTTTTCATTTTCATTTTCCAATTTTGGCCAAATAATTATGCTGACATTAACGTTTAGTAAACAACACTACCAGATACAGGAGAAACAAGCCATAAAAAACCATAAATCCTTATCAAGGATTAACAACAGGCAGTAATTGGAAAAATTTACTGGGAAAATGACTCATTCAATATGCTGTATTGAACATATATCTGAGTTATTATACCCACCACATGTATATGACAAATTGTGCTAACAACAAACATGTATATTGATTTTGACAAGACATGAAAATTCACTTTAAAAAAAAAAAGAAAATTTATGCTATTCTTAAAATGCACTGTTGAATAGTGGCATATTGTTTTGTCAAGCATAAATGTACTAATGCATCACATTTCGCCCAACTGTTCTGGCACACATACGAAAATGACTCACCAACTTTAATACACCTGAGAAAATAACTACAACAATTGATTCTACCTCCGAAATAGAACATTTTCAAAAATACCCAGACCCCTACCATGATGTGCTCTTGCAAATAGCATAGACACTTCCTGTGACTACATCAGATTCACACGTCCTGCTGTTACACATGATGATTGACATTATGCAGATTAGGATTGTGTTTCTTTCATAGAGTTTCTTTGAAATTTCCTTTGTATTCTATAATTTCACTTGATCTAAAGCACAGAACAAATATATTCAAGTTCTTAGTCTTAGGCCGAGTCAGGCATCTAAGCAATCCAAGGGTTGTAATGTTTGAAAAGATCAATATTTTAAATGTTATATGCCTTTCTAAATTTGCCAGGCCTTCAAGGTTTTTCCATTTTCCTTCAGTTCTCTGTGTAACCTTACAGAACATAAGTGGGGGTAGAGATTGGATTTCAAGAATACAGGATGCTGCCAGAAATTTCCTCCTCTTCTTCCCAGCCCCTTCTTCTCTCTTCTTCCGATCTTCACGTTTCAACCGTCGTCAACCATCTTTGGTGGCTGCATTAGAGATCCTTTGACTTGATCCTATGCACCAGTTGTGTCTTGGAAGTCTGTGTTAGTACCCTCTTTCTCTTGTTGAGAATTTTCTTTTTCTCCTCTTTATAACCCATCCCACTTTGACTCCTCCATTTCTCAATCAAATTCCAGCCCAGTTTCACCATAACCATAAGTATTAATCTTTGCCCAATCCAAAGGATTGATTGGACTTACCATGGATTTCATTACAATACTAGGACTTCAGTTGTTGGTTTTCAAGTGCTATCGTCATATTTGTCTGCAAAATTTTGTTTGCTAAATAATTTCCAGCAATATTTTATAGCTTAATCGACATGATCTCTGTCAAGCAGCATTTATGCATGAATGTTTGCTTCTCGTATTTTTTAGTTGTTCATATGTTTACTCAAGGCATTTTTAAGACAGTGTCATAACTTTTGACAAACTTAGGCTGGGCCAATATCATCACAAAAACTTGGAGCCGCTGTCATGTGCCACAGAAATGGTCTATGGGTAGTTCCAAAAAACATACTTCAACGACAGGACATTTTCACAAGTAATTAACACACTGGTTATATCATACCTCCATCTTCGATCTTTTGATCTGAGAAGTTGCAGTGGACTCCATTTCAGGTACCTGACCACGTATGTGCTCAAAGCTATTATTTTCACCGAACGGTGATGACAAAGCATCCAAAGCCAGTACACTTATGTGGCGATTCATCCGTTCTTCTGAAACAGTCGCATATTGCAAGCTGAAGTCATCACCTGATTGTAATTGATATCTTATATCTTCTGCCAAATCTTGACTAACACCATTTCTAGATTCACCAAATGGTGATGTTCCAGCTCTTCTATCAATTAGGGTGACGACTGCACCAATGTCCTGTACAGAGGCACTCAACGCATTGTGTGATATTGATTTTACCTGAAAAGAGAAATCTTAAGATTTCATCATAGGATTACATACAAATATGCATGGATACATATAACAGGCATTGACTAGTAATTTTAATGGATACTCTCATCATGATGTTTTTAAAATGAAACCACACATCTAGTGCTGGCCATTTAACTTACAACCCAGACATGACTCATGAGACGGTTTTTATGAATACATCCTAAATTTTGTAACAACAGATTATCTCCAATATGCATTTAATTGAAGAGAACCTAACAGTGATAACGATGATACTGGTACTAGTAATAGTGAAGACAACTTCATCCCACAAAGTGTGTAGGATTCAAAAAGAATGAATAATGATGATAGAACCCATTTTTGATGCCACTTACATAACAATTTTGGAAAATAATAAATAAGGAATATTTATTACCTAACCATTTACTACAGTATACATATTGTGTAAGTCTTATTAAGGCCAGTCTTCATTATGAAAATGGCGTATTATATATGTATGATCTATATGAATTTTGGAATTTCCACCTTGTGGTACGCCACCACATCAATCCTCTATTAAGTGGGTGAAAAAAGCACAACTTTTTTGTTATTTTATTTTCCTCCTCCGACATAATTTACAATGACGTTTTTGCCAACTAAATAAATAATAAAGTGGAGATTTTTCAAGGAGAAAAAACTAAGGGTATAAAAAGTAGCAAATGCTACAATTACGATAAATATAATCACTGTCTAATATGAGTGGCAATTGGTTCAGCGGTGCTATTAAAAACAACCTTCTATGTGCTATCAAAGCCACTCGTCCTTTCTCCTTTCCTTTCAACCAAGGTCTAACTCGCATAGCTAATGAACGAGAATACCTTAGAATCTAACCGACTATAGTCCCTAAGAACTGGCAAGAAAACCTCCCTTACTCAACCTCTTAATTCCTACAAAAGAGCCCTTTCTTAGAACATCACTTTTCAAACAAAATAGGAATGGTATACTAGTTAGTTAAGGAGGAAAAATCTGGAGTACAAATATACTATTTTGTACATTAATGGAATATGGTCCATTGTGGAACATATACATGATGACAACAACACAATGGAGAAATAGGATTCATGAAGCCGACCAGAAATAGTTGGGGCAAAACTTTGTTTTTTTGAGTTGAGTTGTAACCGTAATGATAGCACATAAAATAGAGAAATAAGCTTTATTAGGACATAAGTAGTATCATGTAAGTCGTGAATGAGATCTCGCAAGTCCCTACACAAGAGCTTGTTGACCATGACAAAGATGGGCGATGGCACAGCATGGAGGACCCTTGGTTAAAGGTATTTTAGGAAAAACATGGAGGAGGCAAGTGGTTGAAGGTGCATTAAATGAGGAGAGCATCTTTTCAGGACATAATTGAAATAATGCAAGTTGTTAAGAGTATTATGGGGAAGGCAAGGGGGTGGGGTTGGCAAGTCGCTTTTAATTTAGGTTGTAGATAACAAGAGATATTATGAGATATCATTGGAATATCATAAATGACTAAGGATAACATGGAAAACTTGAGGGGAAGACAAACTCACAAGGAATACAATTACAATCATTACTAAGGGTGAAATAATAAATCATGGGAGGACAATGGAGGAGGGAAAAGATATGATGAGATATCACTGAAATAAAATAAATGAGTAAGGGTATTATATAATGATGAAATTGAGGGGGGAAGGGGGGAGGAGAAAAGAAGCAAGCCACTTTTATAATACAACTTGAAGACTAAGTACTAGAATGCAAATTGTAAAGGGTATTTTTTTTGGAAAAATCACAGAAGGAAAAAATTGGCCATGACACAATAAATGAGGGAAATAGCTTAATTAAGAAGTGGTAGAATACAACTTGTTGAAGGTATTTTAGGCAAAGCACCGGAGGGAGAAAAATGAGGTATTTTAAGGAAAGCATGGGGGAAGGAAAAAAGTAGCAAGGCATCTCCATTATGGGTAATAGAAAAAATATAGATTTGAAAAGTACTTCGAGTATTTAGAAATATATGATCATGCAAACAAAGATATATGCATGTGCCTAGATCAAAGTTCTTAGCAATATCCACAAACCACTTCAAGTAAGCGCTTAAATGGTTGTCCTTGAGCATGTGATTGCTGATTGCCTTCTAGACTGGTGAAATCTGTGGGCAAGGGGGAGCTCAATATCCCAGGTGTACTAGTGGCAATAGATTGATTCTGGATTGCGGTCTGTTTGGCTGGCACAGCTTGAGGTTGTTTTGTATCTTCAGCAATTGGTAGTGGATAAATACTGGAAGTGTTTTTCTGAGAATCCACTAGTATAGATGATGAAGTTAAGGGAGTTGAAGGAGAAGGAACAATAAATGGTGAAGTAGTGGATTGCGAAGGTGTTCCAGCCTTTGAAAATGGCAAGAATGCATTCTTCAGGTCAACCCGCGGAGAAGAATTGTGAGAGGGTTGAGGAGAAGCAGCAGGAAGTTGACTAGGAGTTGATGGAAGCAGTAACTGTTCTGCTTGAAGCATTCTGTTACCGACACCAATGGCCTGTCCCACCTTTGGTTCATTAACCTCGTTCATCTTCTGCATCAACGACAGTCTGTTTTGCTCAATCAACTGCGGTTGTATTGGTTGCTTCAACTTCTGCGTCTGTGCCATTTTATGTTTCTGTTGTTGCATGTTAGGCTGGAATGGGTTTATAATAGAGCTTGATGGTAAGGAATTCATGGTAGGATCTAATGCATTCACCATTGTCCTTTTTGGCATGCTTCCAGTATTTTGATGTACAGTTGTCATCGAACAATGCTGCAATGGACTTACAGTTCTTTGTTCTAATCCAATTTGAGAACCACTAGGAGAAGTTATCAGGCTTGTCTGGTGTGGCCTACTCAGATTGCATTGTTGCGATCTTTCCAAACCATATTGAAGACCTGAAGCATTCCTTGTTTCTGAGCCTGTTAAAGAACTATTGTGGAGTGAGTCTATCATGTTCGCTTGTGCGTTCAGAAGACATTGCTGGGCTGATAACTGAGGTGAACCAACAGGTGTGACTGTTAAGCTTGGACTCGACGAATTGAACTGAGGTCTCAACTCTCTTTGTTGCCGCAACTGAGGGTTTGAATACTGACCGCCAGGTAGCTGAAGTAGTTGTTCGTGGTGCTGAACTGAAACAGGATTCTTGACTCTAACATGAGTAAGATACCATGTGACCACATTCATATAGTGGTAAACTTTCTCCTTGGTCCAATGAGTCATATCAGCTCTGGGCATCTGCAAGAACTTCAGAATTTTTTCTATAAAAATTCTAGTTTTTTGGTATTTTGTTGCTGCCTCTGCATTTGGTGGCTGCAGGAGAAAATCATACATCAAACAACACAAGGGCAGAACGTTCTGATGACATGATAAATCAGATATTAATGAATTAAATACAGGTCAATAAGAAATAGCATATCTTAAGCACCTGAAGGCACATTTCATTGACTCGGTTGTATAAATTAAGCAATTCAGGCAAGTAAATGTCCCTCATTGACTGAAGCTGCAAAGGAAATTGAAATTGTGACTCATTAGCAAGGGCTTATGTTGTAAGAGCCAAACCATAATATGCAAGGGTCATTATGATTGAAACTGGAGACGCAACAAGCACAATAGGAAGGGTAGAAAGAACGTGGTTGGACATTTTGAAGTAACTGGAATGATCTCGTAGAAATGTCAAGCTCTATTTATTAAAATTAAAAAGGAGAAACCAGGTCCAACCCAAGGTCTTAGAATTTAAGACATAGATGAGTTGAGTCATGAAACCAGGTCCCACCTTGTTCCCGTGGATATTAAGTCATGAACCTCTAGATTTTGCAAGATTGGAAGGAAATGTCAAGTTAAAATTAACGTGTAGGATCCACTTAATGAATAACTGACGTTGAAAATTACTTAAACTCAGAAAAATAAACTGAATTGAGAAAATCTAAGTAGTTGTGGTGGATGGAAACATTCTAGCTTCATCCCTACATTGTAGACAGCTATGATGGTTACAATAACTTAAGAAAAATGTTCAAAAATTCTAACATTCCATGGGAAGAAGGGACGATACAATAAGATTCTCTCTTGAGGACATATTCTGATTGTAACTTCTCATCATTGTCCTTAGCCTGCAATGGCGTTAAGTCTGTCAAGAGAATTTCCAACAGGAATAAGTCCTCATCCTCCTCCTAGAATTGAGACTAATGCATTGACAGTAGAGAGAGCAATCTGGAAGCATACGACTAGATGCAATCCATGATAAAAGGCAAACAATGGATCCTTCGGATGACTTCTCAAATAATAAAAACCACTTTCTCACTCACAAATGCTAGTGCAATAAAACTTACTGAGGTACCAAATCTATAATTTTATTCAGTTCCTAATGATTATGATTTAAAATTTAATTTTAATATTTGTTATAGAAATGGAAGAATATGGGTACGCGCATATTTTTGAATGAAACACATTAAGAACTTTGATTTGTTAGTAGTTAAGAGAAAGCTTACAAACTTTCTTGAGTAATGATAAGATACCCCACGTCTTCTTTCATTTGTTTTTTCGTTCCAAAAAATTCAATCCTATAAAAGCATCATGTATTTTTCTTCCATATAGAGGTGAAAATCATTAATTGAAAATAAGTGTTCCCCTTATTAAAATTATATAAGAACTTTATATTTGGAATCACTCAATCATCTAGACCTCTAAAATTTGTATGTATTAATTTGTCGATAATTGGCGAGTCATCGATTTATGTAAGAACCAAGTTCAAATATATGACTAATTAAATAACGGGCTGGACAGTGCATGAGGCTTCCTCCATTGCGAGGCCTGAGGAGGGTTAGATGTACCAAGTCTTACCTCCGCATTTGGAGAGGCAGCTTCTTCTCATCACCACTTGAATACAATTCAGAACCACTTTCTGGGAATGACAAAGGGTGCTTCTTTTCAATTTGTCACATTTCTTATTTTTATGTAGCATTGGCATCATAGCCTCAACACAAATAATTCAAAATCTCACAACATTCTTTTCATACTATTTCCTAAACCATGAGGTCTTAACCAACTCCAAAACTGATTTTTTAAAAAACAGTGTACTGTTTTTCTGTTTGGTAAAACAGTTACTGTTTTTTTATTAAACAGTTTCTGTTTTGGGTTCTGTCTTGATGATTGGGCTGTTGTGAGGAGTGCAGATTGCTGAACTGCATGTTGATCAGTCAAGGCAGGAGCTGTGCTGAAGGGCCAAAAAACAGTTGCTGTACAGGATTTTAACAGATTTTTGGATTTTTGTATAGTTTACTGTTTTGTTTGTTAAAACAGTTACTGTTTTGCTTAACAGTTTCTGTTTGTTGCTTCTTGTAAATTTTGGATTTCAATAAATAAAATTCTCTCTATTCTTTAAAAAAAAAAAAAAAACTCCAAGACTGTCTACATTCCACATTTGTAACATGATTAGGAGAATTTTATGCAAGGATGCAAAGGAGTACAGATGGATGCAGTTTGTGTTGACTTAAAAGCAACAGACTTATGTCTAAGTTTGTAACATTACAAAAAATTCATGCCGACATCATGTTTGGAGAGTTGAATGCAATTGAGAAAAATAACGAAGAAGTCCATTTTGAGCAGGGAAAAAGAACTTTTAGAGGTTCAATTAGAGAAAAGACCTCTAATCGTCGCAGAGTGAATATGTGATCTTAAAAATACAACTAATCTGATACTCAAACTAAAAGATACACAAACCTCAGCATTGGAATTAGGTTTATTCTTCATATCCAATATTGTGAGGTGGATGATGACAGCACTCAAAAGTGTACCAAAAAGGTTAAAAAGCCTTGAGTTTAAGGTTCATATTCTTATATGCATAATTGTGTACTCATGACCTATTGTGAATCGATAAATTGAGAGTGATTCAAATCATGAAGAAATTAACAGATACACAAACCTCAGCATTGGTCTTAGGTTTATTCTTCACATCTAATATTGTGAGGTGGATGATGACAGCACTTAAAAGTGTACCAAAAAGGTTAAAAAACCTTGAGTTAAAGGTTCATATTCTTATAGGCATAATTGTGTTTGAGAGTGATTCAAATCATGAAGAAATTAACAGGTGTACATGCTGCAAAAATATAATGTACTGTAAGAACTAAGAAGTAATACTAGAGGACTTTCCTTGTTAACATGTATAGTAGCCCAATGTAAGGTGTTTGACATATTCTTTTCAATCTATTTATAGTTTCCCAGAAGCTGCATTACTATTGCCAACTCTCTTTCTTTCTTTCTTTCTTTTTTTTTTTGAGAAAGTGACTTGAACCTCAAGATAGTATAATGGTTTTACACCTTTTCTTCACTCCCCAGAGTTGTAAAAAAAGTGCCACTAAAAGCATGTCCTTGAAGAACTTACAACTATTTTGAGATCCGATTCTAACTTATTTACAATTGCTCATCAAATTGATTTGTTTAACCTCACAAATGTTTTCTTTTCATTTCATGATATAAGCGCCATAGTCCTCTTTTGTGCCAACATTTTTTCTTCTTTGAAAGAATCTATATAATTGCCGTCAAATCCATTTTTCTTTTTCCATCTCATCTACCATTTCTTCATTGAGAAACTTCCAAAATCTCCCCAAACTTCTAGTTAACAAGAAAAAGTTGATGTTTTAGTTGTGAAACACTACCTTAACATCCCATGACAAATACTACATATTGGTTTCGGTTTATAATTATCACCCTTGCCATTATTAGAAGAATACAAGAATCCCCCATGCGATCATCATTCTACTACTCCTTATTTAGAAATCACTCTTATTAAACATGACTAAGAAAACATACTCACCTCAATGGCCAAAGCATAAAAGTTCAAAATAAGACTGATCTAAACATTTCTTCAGGAAGATGATTAAGACAAAGAAAAGGAAAGATAAAGTGAACAAAAATAAAAATAAAAATAACTATTTATGATATGCAGTTTAGTGAAAAGACAAAGGTAAAGTTCTTTTTTTCTTCAAAAGAGTTTAGAAATCATTCTTGACATAACAAAAGGAAAATATGCCAAAAATATTAAAACACAACCGTTTGAAGAGCTCTGGGTACCTTTTTTGAGGGATCAACAGAAAAACAAATATTAAAACAGGTTTTTTTGGTGGCATGAATTCATCCAGAATCGGGAGTAAGGCACAAATATTAGCTAACATTCCCTACTATATTATATCTGACTTACCAATTGCTATTGTAGAGGGATCAAATCAGATCAAACTATTAGAGCATCCAATCCAAACCCAATTAGCAATGAGTGAAGTGGCCCTCAAGTATATAAATCAACCTTAGTGGTCCTAATTATTCGATGTGAGATACAAGTTTTCTAAACACTCTCCCTCACATGGTATCCTTCCTTGCACGTGGGGTCAACAAACAACAGACTTAGCCCACTGACTACCTACCATGTTAGAACATCTAACCCAAAACTAATTGGCAATGGGTGGAGTAACCCCTCAAGTATATAAACCAACCTTATGGTTCTAATCATTCGATATGGGATATAAAATTTGTTAACACAAATAAATAGTAAGCCCCTCACCAAAATGGCAGGTCTAAATTCCTTTAGTTACTTATTCTAAACTAACAAATTTTTAAAATTAAAGCAAAAAATTACTGTAACAAACATTATAGAATTACTGTAGCAATGCTGCTCACACAACAGTGTTGTGGCATCATTCATGCTCATATGCAATGCACAAAAATAAAGATATTTTTCATCTATGATAATATTCATGATTCTATAAATTTAATACATGTGATAAGCATGTTGAGGGTAGCCTTAATTATTTCAGAGTTCAACGTCTGAATAAGGCTCAAACGTTTCTGTCATTTGAAGGTTCATAAGTCATAAAAAAGAACTCATGATGTCAAGCATCTCCCTGGAGCTACTAATTGCCTTTATCTTTAACAATTGAAAAATAACTGCCTGTCTTCAACTTGACGTGATTGTTAAACATACTTGAGGATGTGATAGCCTAGATTCCTCTTTTCCTTTTATCCTGCTTCCTCTTCTTTCAATTTGAGTTTCTTCCATTACTATAATTTCATTTGACGTGATACACCAAAAAGTTACACCTCCCCATCACCTTATATAAACCATTTCAATTCCAAAACCTTTTTCCTCAAATTCCTCATCACCCGTAAGCTATTTTTGGCCCTATGTAGTACTGAAAACTAAGAAAACCCTGCATCCTTAAGTCATGTAATCA